TAGTCGTCGTCGTCCTCCTCGTAGTACAAGTACTAGGCGCAATCGGCAGTAGTAAACCCCCCTTCATACTCGTCGAGTACCAACCCCCCGGCCCCCCCTCCTGCTGGCATTTGCATTGTCGCCAGGTGAGAGTGGCCCGGCAGTGCACAAGTTGATCCGCAGCACGCACACGATGATCTCCCAGCATGTGTGCGGGGACTCCACGCCGCTAATTTGGCGCATGTGGACGGTGGCCTGGGGCTGGTTCGAGGAAGACTCTTTCGGGCCTGACTTCCCCCTGGTCAGAAGCCTTGAGCACGTGAGGCGCAACATCAGAAATCAAGGTTCAAAGAAGCTTTCTCAAAGCAGCTTTTGGGGAAGTGCCAGAAGATGGGTGCCCGCAAGCTCCTTTTGCCACCAGGATGCTGTGTTTCATGCCTTCTGCGTACTCTGTTTTAAGGTGCTGGAGAAAACTGGGGAAAGGCCATTTGCTGAGTATTTACAAAAAGAGCACTTCCGGAAGCTTGAAGACATGTGGACAGCGCCGTGGCGTAGTACAAAACAACAGCCGGGCTATGCTTGCTACGCACTGAATGCCGTAGACAGCTTTTTTAGGAGGCTAGACCATTTCGTCCCGCAAGAGAGCAAGCTTCCGTTGACTGAATTGATGAGGCACTACGAACATGCTGGCAGAGTGTTTGAATGAAGGACTCTGGGCCGAGATATGCGTGGAACCTTGCAAAGTGGTCACCCCCGCTTCGCTAGGCGACGAGCAAAACGAACTCAGCCGTCGGTTGGATTACAAGGAGCTGAAACAAGTGGGACGCTTGACAGCAAAGTCCCTGGCCCGCCTGATGATTGACAAGTAGCCCATGATGCACGAGGTGTGCTGCAGTGAGAACGCCAGGACGCAAGTTTTTTGCAAGCATGGCCCAGCGGATTTTTGCGTGAACGACATGGCAGCTCTGGAATCTGTCCAAGCCATGTTTCGGCGGAGCTCTCGATGAGAAGGGGCGGCTCCATCCGCGCAAAGTTGCACACCTTTACGAGAAGTACACTGCCTTGCACGAGGAAACAACGGCTTTGGTGGAGACGCATCAAGACTTCTGGCAGAGCGGCATGACTGAACATTACGTTTTTGTTGCCAAGGAGTCCTACGGTGCAACAGTCCCAGAAAACTTTTTTTCTTTGGTTCCAAGGGGGGGTCCCCCCCACGCCTCCTTTATCGGCTCAGTCTCACATGCATAGTACGTATGCATAAGACGGTTGAGAGCAACACGGCTGAGAGAAAGGAACTGTAATCGTATCCCCAAGTAGAGTCTCCAGTAGAGTACTCACAAAAAAGAGTTTATTCAAATAGCTTATTTGCCCTACTTATAGGCTCAATTAAAGAACTTACCATTCGACTCAGAACTGCCCGTGAACCTTGAAGCACCGGAATAGCACCGAGTTTGGGGCACTAAGGCTGTTTCCCGAAAGAGCCGAATCCATCACACCTACTTACAAAATCAGGGTACATGATGAGTAGGGTTATACCTATGGTTCTATCTACATATAACCCTAAGTAAGGTACCTATCACCCGATTCACTAAGTCCCATGATCCTCCCAGTAGAGACTCCTACAAACCCGGTTGTTTTTCGAAGTATGCCAGGGATCCCTTTGGTTCCGAAACCCCAAACCCAAGCTCGAAACTCAGCCGCAAACCTGAAAACTTCACTTGCATAGCCCCAGAAGCCTAAACCCTCAACCCTAAACCCTAAACCCCAAAAGCCGTTGAAGCCCAAACAGGTGTCCTCCTGCGGCTCCTTCAGCAGCAGCTTGTCAATCTTAGGGAGCCTTTTTTGAGCTTTTGCCAAACAGGAGCCAATAGTATCGAACCCTGAACAACTATTAATCCTATTCCTTAGGGTTCCTTATCCTACCTGTACCAGAACGTATTCCAAAGCCCTATTCTAGTTGTTGCCAGTCGGCGGACACGCCGCCCCGCGACCCTTTTGAGGCATCTTTTCGTTCTTCCTGCTTCGATATGCTTCTGTGTTGCGTGTTTTTCCTCGGGTTTTTGAGCATTTAATTTATTTTTTGTTTGTTCGTTCTTGCGTTTTTGCTCAGTTTTGCTTGCGCAAAATTTTGGCTCTTCTCGGGCCCAACACTCGAGTTTTTGCTGTTTTGGAGCGCGTTTTATGCTGGAAAAGCCGTGTTGACTGCATGTTTATGGGTGATTCGCCTTTTGTTCTTAGTGTTTCTACGCTTTCTCAATCTTTCGTCGTTATGACTCCGATCTTTGCCAGAAAGCATCCATGTGGCAACCATGTTAACGTCCAGAAAGATTCCGTCCGTTTTTGCAGAGCATCCATGTGGCAACCATGATAACGTCCAGAAAGATTTCGTCCGTTTTTGCAGAGCATCCATGAGGCAGCCATGTTAACGTCCACAAAGAGTCCGTCTGTTTTTGCAGAGCATCCATGTGGCAACTATGCTAACGTCCAGAAAGTGTTCTTCCGTTTTTGCAGAGCTTCCATGTGGCAACCATGTTAACGTCCACAGAGACTCCGTCCGATTTTGCAGAGCATCCATGTGGCAACCATGATAACGTCCAGAAAGACTCCGTCCGCTTTTGCAGAGCATCCATGTGGCAACCCAGAAAGACTCCGTCCGTTTTTGCAATGTCGCAGCAATGAGAACGACGCTACCAGAAGAAGCAAAGCTTCGCCAATCCTTTGACGCGGAGCTGGGCGTATGCTTTTCAGTGGCGCCACAACGTGTGCCTCAAGAGTTCCGTTGAAGAGGCGTTGCCTCGTGCGCTCTGGCGTTAGTGTGCAGCCGAACTGGGGGTTCGTTCGTGCGCAGTCTGAAAAGACTCCTCCTTACATGTTTGACATAGGGTCATGTTTTTGGGCCAACTTCCCTTACCTGCCAAGATAGCCCTTAGAAGCAAGCCAGAATGCCGTAAATTACAGTACTTTGGGGTTTTCTGAATGTGACAAAACGCAGGGCGGCAGGTCGGCCACCTGCCTAGTTGTTCAAGCGTCTATACCATGCTTTCCCTGGACCCTAAGCACTGAGCCCCTGACCTCAAACCCAGCATTCCCCAAAGCCTAAACCTTAAACCCGTAGATTCCTATGAAACCCTGTGAGACACGACAAAGCGGAAAAACAGGCTATTGCCCCCACTCAGTAACAGTTGAGTAATATTCCATAATCTGGGTATCTAAGGCCCTTAATCGTAGCCCTATTATCGATTGTTATTGTATGGGGGCTGTACCCAAGGTTTCAGGTTCAGGGTTTGGGGTCCCTCCCTTCTCTGCTTCCTCGCACCAACCACTCCCCAAGAGTTCTACAAAGGCTTAGGGCTTGCGTCGACTATAAGGGTGTATTGTAAGCGCTTGTATAAAGGGTTACTGTACTTAAGCGTTTCGTAACTAGGGGTATAAGTAAGGTAGCCCATGTTGTATCTACCTCGAACCGGAAGTAAGGTCCTACAACCCTACTGTCGAGGTCCCCTAAACCCCAAAGAACCCTAAAGAAACCCCGAACCCGAATGGAACAACAAATGGGTAGCCCTCTAATCGGCACCCTCGTAACAAGCACCCCACGGAAGAGATCCTAATTTAGAGAGTTACCCATATAGCACGCAAACAAAAGAGTCCTACCACATCCTTACGTACTAAAACCCCCGAACCTGCACCCTAATCCCGTCATTGGCCCAGATTCTTTGTGGAACTCCCTTTAAGGTATAAAGTCTAAACACGTCTAGAGCCTTGTAGATCCTATGTAGATCCCCAAAAAAGTGCCCCGAATGGCAGCCCCGACTAGCAGCCCCTTGATACTGTTGATGATATAAATCCTGCATGACCTTAAGGACCCTGAACTATGGGAATTACGGTAAACTCCTTATTCTGGGTAATGCAGGATTTATATCATCAACAGTACTTTCAAAATCCTTGCAAGCCCTACAGAACCCTTAAAGCTTCAACCCTGACCCATGAGAAGCCCAAAGCTTCATTCCCCTATCGAACCCTGACAGAAAGCCATACAAAAACCCTTATAGAACCCTACCTACTCAAGCCCCCCGACCCTCCAAGTGAGGTATGGCTGATCCTCTAAGTATAGAAGCCCCGTATAGACCCCTTTTAGAACCCTTGAAAGCAACACTCATATAGACCCCTATTCTAACCCTGAATAGCCCGCATAGAAGCCCTCCGCCTAAACCCTAAACCCAAAGCCCCTAAACCCTAAATCCTAAACCCCTAAACCCTAAATCCTAAACCCCTGAACCCTAAATCCTAAACCCTAAACCCCCAAAAACCCCCTCAGGTATGGATCTGTGACTCTGAGCCTTTGATGCATGCCTCACGGGGCTGAGTTGCCTTTTGGGCTTGGGATCCAAGGATAGAGGCTCTAGGCCAGTTTAGGCCTAGGGAAGTTCGTTTGAGACATCTCTTCGGGTGGGCGATATCGGAACCTGCATTCCAGAATTTAAGGTTGTGGGTTTAGGACTGATAGAGCTGAAAAGAGAAGCCGTACCACAAATTCTCGACTTCTCCTGCTCACGACAGTTGATCGGCGGGCTTGTTGAATAGAACGGATTCATAGTGCCTGTGTAAGTTTGATGGAGAGCCCGTATGGGGGGACGACATACTTAATATAGGGTTGTGGGGTGTAGTGGATTCGAGTGCAGTTATTTAGGGACTGTTCGAGGATATGCTATTTCTAACATCAAACCCTAAACCCTAAACCTTAAACCCTAAACCCTAAACCCAAAACGTTCCTGCACGCCCACCTGGAGGGCGGCCTTACCGCAAAGCCGGCATCTCGGAGAAAATCCAGAGCCGGCGTTGCTTCGTTTGAGGGGTCGCCATGCGTGAGACGTCGCGATGTCACGCTGAACATGGTAGTTTCTCGCCTCACCTCGGAGGATCCGGTGACTTCGTAGGGTTAGAGTTAAGGTAACTATACTTATACCTACTGATAAACCCCACTCAAGTGATTCAAAACCCGATTTGCCAAGTCGCATGAGCCTCCAACAAAGGATCCGGGGCCTGGGGATATAGCGTTTTAGGGCTGCAGGGTTTGAACCCTAAACCCCAAACCCTAAGCCCTAAACCCCAGACCCTGAGCCCTTAACCTTAAGCCCTAAACCCTAAACCCCAAACCCTAGGGTCGGGGCTTCGGGTTTAGATCACACGCCATCCCTAGGAACTACTTCCGAATAGAGGGCTTGCCAAAAGCCCGCTTGGAGCTGATCCCTACAGCCTGAACCTGAACCCGCCTCCCCGGAAAAACGCATGAAACCCAAAATAACTCAAACTCTCTGAACCCCTAAACCCTCTCTAAGTCTCTGAACCCCAAACCATGACGCCGAATCCTCCGCCCGTGCAGAGGCGAGAGGGGTCTACGAGGGTGGTTGTCAAAATTTCGGCCCCTTTGGAGTTCCTACGGCTCATGATGCAAATCCTGCCTTGCCCATAGGAATATACCATAATTCCCATAGTTTAGGGCCCTTAAGGGTCATGCAGGATTTATGTCATCAACAATAGGATTTAGGGCCTAGGGCTCAGGGTCGAGGGCGAAAAGAATATGTAGGGTGCCGTATGAAGAATAGAGGTTTTTTTATGGGGTTCCCCAAAGGGACCATGACTTGCACAGTTACCCAGCACCGTCAATCCGTGTTGACTTGAACTCGGCGGCGTGCCCGAACAAGAGCTTAGGATCTGGGAATTCCTTGTACGGTGTGCCTACAACACGCGTTTTTTTAAAGGGAGTTTAACCTGGAGGGGCGTTAGGGTTTGGGGCTGTTTGTGGGGGTCGGAAGAATCAGGTATGGTATATTATGCCCCAATTCCGTATTCTAAACATTCAGGGCCCTTAAATTAGGAGCCGCCCCTAGGCCCGAGACGCAGGATTTCATCCATGATCTTCTGGGTGTTGTCTGTTTTAGCATTAATGGTTGTTTTAGGGTTTTGTCTAGTTGCATAGGGTCTTCTACGGTGTTATCGGGTGTGCTTTGGGGTTCAGGGTTGAGTACGCTGAAAGTTTGGACCCGGTTTGGATCTGGGCTGCAGAAACTCCTCGGCCGCAGCCCCCCTGATTCAGGATCCCTTCTGAGGAACCAGAGAACCCAATACC